AGGAGCCTAAACCAAACTTGTGAATCTTGTTTTGAAGGATAGATAACTCTAAGGGCTTAATCAGCCAAATGAAATAGACATAAAGAACAATTGGAGTCGGTACACACGTACACGTGTAGTCTTATGAACATCCAATCAAGATTACTCACGTTTTGGATAAATTTACCTGTTGCGACACAAGTCTTATACTTTTGGTATATTCCGAGAGGGTCAAGACTGATGAGGAGCTCAGATTAGGTAAACTTATCAAGACACTTCGATCTGATCGAGTATTTGAGTATTTCTTGGGATAGTGCAAAGACTATATGGTCAATGAGGGTGTTGTGTACCAGTTTTTCGCAATTGACGCTAAATTAATTTAGGTGTCAAATAGGAATAACAGAATTCCACTTAACATGGTTAGATCTATGATCAGTAATGCCACATTATCTCTTTCATTTAAGAGTTTAGCGTTAATGACATCGATGCGCATTATGAACTGCATTCCATCTTAGTCTGTATCAAGGATACCGTTGAGCTGTGTTTTTGACTAAATATTAGTTTGAATCATATGCACATATGGGGTAGTCTTGCACACGTGCGTTTGATATGGACAAGTAAGTTGGAATCAGATCATAGGCATGCTAGATTTGATAGCTACTCTAAATGTCACTAGGATGGATTATTTTATGATCTCAAAGATAAAAGTTGATTGTTTTCACTCATTGTTTATCTATAGAAGAATCATATTATGAATCACATACCTAGTAGCATAATGTTAGAGAATTTGGTATGAGTACCAGATGTACCACATGTGAACACACTTATTATAGAGATTGAGAATAATATATGAATTCCCTATTGATGCGTTAGCATCATCTACTACACAGATTCTTGCATCGGTACATTGATGTAGTGGGAGGATTATCATCCAATTCGACAGAATCATGTTTTTAGGTGAGACCATTATGGACATCCCTGTTAAACATGAGTTGGACCCAGTAAGCTACACGGAAGCGTGAACCGATGTGGATACAGATCGTTTTGGTGAGTTACTATGAAATCAGAGTTGGAATCTATGTATTCTAATAAATTCTGGGATCTTGTAGAACTTTCTAGTAGGGTGATTCCTATGGAAGGCAAGTTAATCTACAAAAAGATACCAGAAGATTTCTTAGTGAATAAATCATGAGTGTACAAGGGAATGTCATTATTTTTCTTAATTCTATATATTGATGACATCCTACTCATTTATAATGACGTGGAAGTTTTGTCATCAATTATAAGGTAGTTGTTCAATTACTTTTAAATGAAGGATTTTCAAGATGTAAGCTATATTCCTAGGTTCAAGCTTTTGCAAGATCAGGTTAAAAGGAAAATAGGCTTATCTTAATAATCCTACATTGATAAAGTTTTGACCAGGTTTGGTATGCATAACTCAAAGAATGAGTTCTTGCTTTATTGATATGGATCGCTCTCTCTAGTAAGTAGTTTTTCAAGACTAGCAGAGGAGATTGAGCAAATGAGACTGGAACAATATGTTTCGGCATATGAGAGTCTCATATATGCCATGGTCTATACCAAACAGGACATCCGCTACATGGTAGGGATAGTCAGTAGAGATCAGTCCAATACTGGACTTGACAACTGGTCTATTGTGAAAAATATCATTAAGTATCTAAGGAGAATCAATGATATCATACTCATTTATGGATGTGATGATATGGTCCTAGTCAGGTATGCTAGTTCTGATTTTCAATCAGAAGTAGATACTATGAGGTTCATGACTTAGTGTATGTTTACTTAATGGAAGGGAAATCAGTTGGTAGATTGTCAAGCAGATTTCAACTGTTGACTCAAACCTGCAGGTGGAACATATTGCAGCCTTAAAGGTGGCAATATAAGCCTATTGGTTTGATCTCACTGATTTAGAGGTTGTGGAGCATACTAGCCTGCCTATCGAGCTATATTGTGACAATAGTGCAGAAGTAGTCCAAACCAATGACCCAAGGTTCCATAGAGGAACAAGATACACTGAGAGGAAGTATCATGTTCGACATGATATTGTCCGGCAAGAAAATGCACTTGTAGTTAAAACATTGCATTGGAACACAACTTTGTTGATCCATTATCAAAGGTGTCATTGATCAATAATTTTGATCATCATCTGGATAACATTGGAGTTAGGTGCAATTTGAATTGGCTATGAGGGCAAGTGGGAGCTGTTGGGATTTATATGCCCTGGCATAGCAAATTCCTATCTGGATTGTATTGACATATGTTCCTGACATATCTGAAATATTTATGATTTATATAATTGGTGAATTCAATGTATTATGTTTCAATTCACTATGAAATTGATAGTGTCCAGTTAATTACAAGAAATATTTATATATATGTATGTGATGACAATCAATGCATGATATATAAATAGTAATTATAAATTGTTCATAGTCGGTAATTATGGATGGACTCATAATTAATTAAGACTTGAACTGGATCCGCGTTAGGTTGAGATATATTGCGAGAGCCGTCGTATGCAATTACTCCCTATTACCGTCATGACATTTGACTCTTAAGCATGAGAAAAGTATAGACTCTTTTATTAATTAATAATTACTTTGATTTGTTCGGCGGATTCTTCGGGATCCTTAGACCGACACTTTGGGTAGTTATGTAATTAATAGTTAGAGGGTTATATTTTCAATATTTGCATCATTGCTACTTGTATTTATTTTGTATTGATTATGGTTGATCACAAAGTAAATTCGAAGGCCTTCGTGTGTTTTTAGACAAAATGATTTATTATATATTTATTTATTTAAATTATTATTTTTGTCAAACAAATGTTTTATTGTGATCGAGCCAGAAATAATCAAAGGTACCAAAATAAATATATTAATTAAGTAGTCGGATTGATGGCTATATTTATCCGATAACTAATTATGCGTAGAGGGGTCAAAGTGTAATATTGACTTAGAGGTTATTTATTATTTAATTGGAGTTCAATTAATTTCTTTTAGTGGAGTAGAAATTAATTTATGAATTAATTGAATTGGGTCCATGGACCGGGCCAATTATTAATTCATTGTAGCCAATAAAATAATAGGCCCAATGGATTCTCACTCATAGCCCAACTTGATATTGGAATCATATTAGATTTGAGACATATGAATTAGAGATGGAGAAGGATTTGTTGTTTCCTTTTCTTTATTTTTATGTTGCCTATAAATATACATGGTCTATGTATATTTTAAGGTGTGATTTTTATGAGAAGGAAAAAGGAATAAATTTTCTCTCTCTAGAAAATTAGGGTTTATGTTCTCATCTAATGGAGGCTCCCACAAGCCTAGTTTTCCAAGGTCATTCAAGGAGGCTTATGAGTGATTCCTAAAGGCAAGACCATTACCAAGAAGATGGAGATCCATGGAAAAGATGTCTAGCAAAAGGGATCTACAATAAGTGAGAACATTCACTTTAGAGGAGAGATCTGAGGTTTACTCAAACATTGATGTAAGTATTCAATCTTTTAGTTGAATAATACATCATATTTTATTTTATTTTTTGCATAAAACTTGTCTCTATATGATGAATCAAGATCTATGAATTTAAATCCCTCGAAAAGTTTTTAAAACTAGCACGTTTCCCAACACTGGGAACATCACTCCGGGGAAGAATAATATCCAACTCTTGTTCTCGCAGTGCCTACATTAGACCCACGAGCTGAGGCTTAATTGGTTTCTAGTACACTACGTATACATATATATATACTACGTATACATATATATATAGAGAGAGAGAGAGGGAGAGAGAGTATTGTACCTGATAACTGAGGACATTTCTTCTAAAATTATATGCAACGTTGTTGTTGACTAATTTGGGACAACAATAAAAAGACATCAATCGACGTTCTGCTGCTTTTGATTCCACTGGTATGCTTTGCAATGATGTACAATCGTTTGCCATCAATCCCAATAAATTTACTGGAAGCGCTGGAACTGATTCGGGCAGAATACATTGGTTTACAAGGATACCAAACTACCAATTTCGCTGGGCACATTTGTTATATTGCAGTTTTCCATATATAATTCCCTCGTGCTACTTGATAACTGTAACGACAAAAAGCTTGATTCAGGTGACGATCGTTGAAAAAATGCTGGCCACTCTAACTTGGAGCAGCCGGACAGATCGAAATAATGGAGTGACTTCAACATAAAAATGCTCAGGGGAATCTTCCGAAGGTTCTTGCAATTCTTCAGATCCAAGATAACAAGATTTTGTAGGCATCCAATAGATCAGTGAACCTCTACCAGCTTTGTACAATCATTAAGCAACAATTCCTCAAGACTTGTAAATCCCATGAGGTCCGGAGTTTCAATCAATAAATAGGAATGACTTAGATTGAGGTATTTCAATTTGGACAAAACCTGTCAGTGACAGAAAGAGAGAATAGATTTTCAAGCATATCATTATATATAATTAAGTAATCTGAAGAAGATGATTAAAAAATAGTAGAATCATCATACCCTTGTTTCTCTCCAAACTTGTTTGAGTTTGCTATAGCTGAAGTCAATAGCAACTAGATTATCCAAAATTAAGGCGGATGGTATACATTCTAAAGAAAATCCTTTCCAACATAGCCATAGAAGTCTTCCAGAGAGATGCTTGTAGCTTCCACTTAGATGGACATAATTGAGATGAAGCACTTTCAGCCTCACCATCTCTGTAATGACCTTCGCATTTAGTTGTAGCTCCTCCGATTCTGGCAAGTTCAGGACCAAGCCTTGAATTGCTTTCGTCCCCTTATGATAATAAAAAGTTGCAAATATAAGTATATATATTTATATATGTGTGTGTGTGCGTATGTATGCGACATTGTGTTGAACATAGGTTCACATCTCAAATTGTGTGACTTTCATGATGTGTTGTGTGTTAATGCATTTTTAATGTAACAAAATATGTAATTAATTTAGGCACTGGGCTCTTACAGTGTTACTTCTCAATACATCGAGAATATCTTCCTAATGCCACAATCTACTACGTTCACCTGGCTCTTCAGGAGATTCTTGGCGGACGATCTCTCTAGCCTTGTCTTTAATATGATCATGCATCATCAGCCGGTTATACCCATCAATTGTGACAAGAAAACGACGAGATAGAACCCCAATTTCAGATTCTGGGAAGAAACCGCAACCTTTTAATATTTTGATTGACAAATCTTGGTCCATTCCAACAAAAAAACATGCAATATGTAAGAATAAAACCTTCAGTTTGTCATCAAGTGAATTGAAGCTTAGTGTAAGCTTTCCTTGAACATCCTTGTGAGGAAACTTTCTCAACTTCTCCAATTCACTTCTCCATTCAAGTATGTCTCTGCAGCTCGACAAATGGGAACCTAAAATTTCAAGAACTAAAGGAAGTCCCTTAGAATAACTCACTACTTCCTTAGAGAGGCTCTTATAGTCTTCTACAGGACGATCTCTCCTAAAGGCATGCCAACTGAAGAGTTGAAAGGATTCATCCTCATTCAACTCCTCGATCTTATACACCTTATCCACTTGAAGCGAAGTTGTTGAAGACAAATCTCTAATTGTTAGTATGACTCTACTTCCGGGACGTAACAAATCACGATTTATAGCTAATGCCCTCAATTGGCGAATGTTATCCACATCATCGAGAACAAGAAGAACCTTTCAACACCATGCTCGTCGTTTTATTACCTCAATTCCATGATCCTCGCTTTTTATTATCTGATTTCTATCCATCAAGAGATCACAGAGAAGGCTCTCTTGTAATTTAACAAAGCCGTTGGGTTGCATCGAAGTTTCTCTAACATCTCTAAGAAAGCTACTGCCTTCAAACTCACGAGTACGATGCATGCGATTAAACAACGCTTTAGCGACTGTGGTCTTACCTATTCCACCAATCCCCCATATGGCAACAATCCTAACATCATTATTTGACCTCAACTTTAGAAACCCACTCAATTTTTGGACACGAAAGTCTATTCCAACTAGGTGGTCCGTAACACTTAAATGGGTATGATTTAATTTATCTGCAACTTCTCCCACAACTTTCTCAATAAGTGTTGACTCAAACCTGCCAATTATTTTTCCAACCGTTTAGGAGAATAAAAATATTATTAAAAAATAAAGTAAACAATTTTTATATAGAGAGAGCTGAAAGATCAAAATAAATAAGTGATCAAACAAGTAATGTGTTAGAATGCTTTTTTTGAAGAGAATAAAGAGAATTAAGTGTGAGATATATTTTGTAATTGGCTAATTTCGATGTCAAAACAAGTCCGATCGAGTTGTAATTTTTCAGTACGAAATTTCAAATATTAACGATCGGATGCGGATTTGAAGAAGGTCAGGTGTTCATGAGATACTACACTCTGAGATGATGAGAACAATGTTATAAGAAGTTTTGAGAGGTACTGAGAACATTTAGGAAGGGTTTTGAAAGGTTTTGAACAAGATTTTATATTCTGTCCATCTTGAACTGGTTCAAGATTTATCAAACAAGTTCAACTTGAACTGGTTCAAAATTTATCGAACAGGTTCAACTTCAGCAGAGTGGCGATTTTAGAGTCTGTCCATCTTGAACCAGTTCAAAATTTATCGAACAGGTTCAAGACGTCCTGGTACTATTCTAACTTCAGTTTCCTTCTTCTGAATGTTTCCTTTTTTATCCCAACTTCCTTCTAAGTCCTATGCACGAAATTTATCATATTTTATGAAGGATTGAGACTTTCAAAACTCTATATAAACCTTGGCATATACATTGGTTGATGAAATGGCTTTAGGGAAAATCAATTCTATATTTTGAGAAAGCCTTCTAGAGAGAGAAAATTCAGAAAATCAAATCTGATTATTCTGAATTTATTTATGAGAGCATACACATATATTCATGAGTAATTTAGTGGTGTTGTTCTCTATCTCATCGGAATCGGAGCTATACTGAAGATTCAAATATTCCAGATGAGAAGCAGGATTTAATTCTTCTACAATCGAGTTCAGATCTTGAAGAACAGAAGTAAGCGCTATCACACTTTGAAAGGGTTGGAACATTCTTGGAGTGCTGTCTGATCTACCTGCTACTTTTCTACAAATATCAAGTGTAAGCCTGAGATCAAGTTGCTATTGGACGGGGAGTCGCAAAGCCAGAGTATCGTCAGCGGTTGGTGTGGTGTAGAACGATAAGGTGTGAGCCAGAATCAAAGTTCGGTATACTTTGTTTCAAACATAGTGGATTGGTTTACTTTGGACTGCAAAGTCCACGAGGTTTTTCCATAACAGTTGACGTATTTTATCAACTGGGGTTTCCTCGCTAAAAATCCTAGTGCAATCTCTCTAAACTTAACTTGTTTTACTTTTCAGTATTTATATTTATGATTATGGATGTTTAATTGATCATACAATTTAATCAATCATAAATTAAGCAAGTTGACCTAATAATCAGATCTAGGTCATTAAAGGAGTTAATCACAATTAAAATCAACTGTTTCCGCACCCCGCGTAACTTTTGTTTCACAATTTGGTATCAGAGCGGGATACTCGATATACAGAGTAGATCATATTTGTTGATTGATTGTTGATTTTTTCATCATGTCTGAAAATTCATCTGTTGTTGATGTGTTGCCTTTATCTCCTATTTTTTTATTCTGTCATAAGCATGCAAAGTGAATGGTCAAAATTTAAAAAGGATTTTGAAAATTTGTTAGAAAAATTGAATCTTGCTGAACTTGATAGAGATATTTATAAGTTAGAAGTTTATGTCTCTAATAAGAATTTGGAATAAATTGGCCTTAAGAATTTGAATCTTCTTCATAAGATTGATTTTCTGGAAAAGGAACTTAAGAAGGTAAATTTGTTTAATAAATCACTGGAACTTAAAATTGATAATTTGAGTAGTGAATTTGTTAAATCAAAACAGTCGTTTCAGAAAATTGATATTGACACTTGCAAAATAGATAAGTTGAAAGGTGTGGTTGGGAATGTTATGAGTAACAAAGATTTGGCATCAACTTCAAAGGATCTGTATTTTAAAAAATCAAAAGATATTTTTGTGAAAGTTGAAACCAAACCTTGTGTTATTTCTAATTCTCCTAAACTTATTTCAACATATCATTTTTGTGGTGAAAAAAGGCATATCAAGTATAAGTATCAAAAAAGAAAAATTAAATTAGGAAAGAATTTGAAAAATCTAGAGAGTTCAAAATTGAGGAAGAAGAGGATTAGGATTGTTGAGCCTTATGACACTTTACCTAGAACAATAGGGAAATCATTGCATAATGAATCTAAACTTGTTTGGGTAAAGAAAGAGAATTTTAAATGCCTTGCCATGCACACTGCACTTAGAGCACTTGGTCCGTGGTTGGTACTTTAATAGTGGTTGCTCTAGGCATATGACAGGGGATAGAACATTATTTACCACATTTAAGGAATGCTCAGTTGGTACTGTTACTTTTGGTGATGGTAAGGCTTCTACTGTAAGTGGTAGAGGTAAGATCAAATTTCCAAGAATTGGGGAGTTAAAAAATGTTATATATGTTAAAGGTTTAGCTACTAATCTGTTGAGTATTAGTCAAATATGTGATAAGGAGTTTCAAGTCAAATTTACTCAACAAGAGTGTTTTGTAACTAATGAAAAAGGTGAATGCATCTTTAAAGGAACTAGAACTTTTGATAATTGTTATGTTGTGTTTTCAGATCCTTCAATTATGTGTTTTTCTGCAGTTACTGATGAGGCTGTTTTATGGCATAAAAGACTTGGACATGTGAATTATAATGATTTAGTGAATTTGTCTAACAATGATCTTGTTCGAGGTTTGCCTAAATTGAAGATGCCTAAGAATGAACTATGTGGTCCATGTCAGTTAAGAAAACAAACTAGAGTGTCACATAAGAGACTTATTCATAAAATCACTTCTCGACCTTTAGAGTTGATTCATATGGATTTGATGGGTCGCATAACACCTGATAGCATTGGAGGAAAAAGATATTTGCTTGTTATGGTTGATGATTTTTCTAGGTTTACTTTTGTTGCATATTTGAGAGAAAAATCTGATACTTTTGTGAATTTCAGGTCTATTTGCCAACTTATTCAAAATGAGAAGGGATATCGAATTAATCAAATTAGAAGCGACAATGGTGGTGAATTCGAACCTAAGGAGTTTGTTGAATATTGTAATAAGAATGGCATTAAGCATGAATTTTCAACACCTAAAACATCACAACAGAATGGTGTAGTGGAAAGGAAAAATAGGACAATTGCAGGTATGGCTCGTACTATGCTTCAGGAGAATAAGGTTGCAAGTCACTTTTGGGCTGAATCGGTACGTACTGCTTGTCATATCCTAAATAGAGTTTATCTTAGGCCTGGAACTAACAAGACTTCATATGAATCATGGTATGATAGAAAGCCCACTATTAAATACTTTAGAGTTTTTAGAAGTAAATGTTATATCCTTAGAGATAGGGAACACTTAGGAAAATTTGACTCCAGAAGTGATGAAAGTGTGTTTTTGGGTTATTCACAAACTAGTCGGGCTTATAGGGTTTTTAATCTTAGAACCAAAGTGGTCATGGAGTCTATAAATATTGTATTTGATAATATAAAATCTAAAATAACCTCTTCTCAACTTGATGAAGAAGAAACTAATTTTGAAATTGTATGAGAAAGGAAAGTACCTGCTATTCAAGAAAAAGAAAGAGTTGAGGATTTAGGTGGAGAAGGTGAAGAGATTGAAGAAGATAAAGATGAGGAATTAGAGGTTACCACTGATGAACCTATAGGAGTTCCTGCACCGTCTCTAGATATTCCCACATCTAGCAATTCTAGAGTTAGATTAGTCATCCAATTGATAATGTGATAGGTCCTTGGAATAAGCATGGTACTAGGAGTACAGTCCGTGATGATGTAGAACACTCATGCATTGTAGATGATATAGTTCACTCATGTCACATGGCTCAGTTTGAACCTAAGAATGTTGATAAAACTCTTCAAAATTCTGATTGGCTTATGGCTATGCAAGAAGAATTGCTTCAATTTGTGAAGAATGATGTTTGGGAATTAGTGCCTCAACCTAGTGATGTTAATATCATAAGGACCAAATGGATCTTTAAAAATAAACTTGATGAACATGGTCTTGTGATGAGGAATAAAACTAGGTTAGTTGCACAAGGATACACTCAAGTTAAAGGAATTGATTTTGATGAGACTTTCGCACCTGTTGCTAGACTTGAGTCTATTCGACTTCTTTTTGCTCTTGCATGCCACTTTAAATTCAAATTGTTTCAAATGGATGTTAAAAGTGCTTTTCTTAATGGTATTTTGCAGGAAGAAGTTTATGTAACATAACCAAAAGGTTTTATTGATCCACATAATCCTGATTTTGTTTTTCATCTTAAAAAGGCTCTTTATGGTTTAAAGCAAGCACCTAGAGCATGGTATGAGAAGTTGACGTCTTATCTATTGTACAAAGGCTTCAGAAGAGGAGGAGCGGATAAAACGTTGTTTATTTTCAGGAAAGGAAAAGATTTTCTTGTTACTCAAATATATGTGGATGATATTATTTTTGGTGCTACTTGTGATAACCTTGTTCATACTTTTTCTAAAGATATGAGTAAAACTTTTGAAATGAGCATGGTTAGTGAACTGACTTTCTTTCTAGGTCTCCAAGTGAAACAATTTGATGATGGGATTTTTATATCTCAATCAAAATATGCAAAAGAGCTAGTTAAGAAGTTTGGTATGAAAGATTCAAAGCATATTCAAACTCCTATGAGTACTTCATCCAAATTGGATAGAGACTCTGATCCTAACATGGTTGATCATTTCTTATATAGGAATATGATTGGTAGCTTGTTGTATTTGGCAGCAACTATGCCAGATATTTCATTTAATGTAGGTGTTTGTGCTAGGTATCAAGCTGATCCTAGAGAACAACACATCCTTGCAGTCGAGCATATTATTCGTTATGTCAATAGTACATTGAATTATGGATTGCGTTATTCTTCTGAGTCTAACTCTGAGATTGCAGGCTGTACTGATGCTAATTGGGCTGGAAATAAGGATGATAGAAAGAGTACTTCTGGTGGTTGTTTCTATGTTGGTACTAATCTTGTTTCATGGTACAGCAAGAAGCAAAATTACATATCTTTATCATCTTGCGAGGCTGAATACATTACTGCTAGAAATTGTTGCACACAATTGTTTTGGATGAAACAGATGCTTTTGGATTATGGAGTTGATCAAGGTACTATTTCTATCTTTTGTGATAATACTAGTACAATAAATATTTCAAAGAATCTAGTTTTGCATTCTAGGACTAAACACATTGACATTCGACATCACTTTCTTAAGGAACTTATTGAACAAAATGTCGTGTCTTTGGAAGAAAATGCATACTAATCAAAATTTAGCTGATATTCTTACTAAACCATTAGATGTTCCTAAGTTCTCTCATTTTAGGAAATCTATTGGTGTTTGTTGTCTTGATTAGATGCATTGCAAAGACATAGTCTAGAAAGGATTTTCATGCATATCTTGAGTGTCTAGATTATGTTTCTGGGAAGTTAAGTAAACCATATTGATTGAGTATGTTGAACACAAGGAGTTTAATGACACATGGATTATCTGTGGAAAGCATACAATGGCTATGATTTGATAAAATTGGTTTTCCTTACTTATTTCGTATAGTAAATAAATCATTGATAATACATTTACTTGAGATTTCGTTGTTTTGGTCGAAGATAATGTTGATAAGATTGATCATTGTCTTGGAGTTTAAACTTGATTTATGTGTTTTAGACCAAAAGAGTGAAAAGAAAAAGAAAATTGAAAAACAGCTTGGAATGAAACAGGTTTTGAAAAAGAAAGACAAATATTTGCTGTTTTTGAAAAAAAAAAAAAGTGAGGTAGAAAAGGCTACCTTTGGGATTTATCCGAAAGCTACTTGACTCAAAAAAATGGGAATAAAGGAAAGAGCTGGCTGCCCATAAGAGTGAAAGCCGCCAATGTGCAAAAAGAAAAAATGAGCACAAAGAGAGAAAAAATTGTCTTTTGCACATGTTGATTGTTTGATTTCTATGGATATATGATATCATTGATTTATTATCTGAAATCTGAACAATTGACAGATCATTATTTTTGAAACTTGGTGGTGATTTTACTACACTTACTAAGTTTGTGGAACTTAAAGAATTGATCTTGGTTATTTATGTTGATACCTATAATCTTGTGGAGTCTACATTCTCATTGGGTTTAATTTACAAGATTTATATGGTTGGTTGCTTCCTACTTCTAGGATTTTTCTTCCTTCCGACCCTTGTCAATTTGTGACAAAAAGGGGGAGAGAGTTGTGATACTTATCATTGAGGGGGAGAGAACTTTTTGCATTGAGGGGGAGAACTATTGTTCAGTGCATTGACATTTAAGCATTATTAGCTTTGCTATTTTATGCTTATGTTTATTTTCTTGATTAAGCTTCATGGGTAGTTGTATTTGAGCTAATGTGCAGATTACAGGTTGCTACATGTGTTGAAGCTTCATAAGGTTCAAGAAAATGTCCGTGGTTTATTTCCTTTAACAATCATTGTAATTTACTTTCCCGCTTGGGTAGATTGCTGAATTGTTTTTAGGGTTTTGTCACGAAATTGCCAAAGGGGGGGGGGGATTGTGAGATATATTTTGTAATTAGCTAATTTTGATGTCAAAACAAGTCCGATCGAGTTCTAATTTTTCAGTACGAAATTTCAAAGATTAACGATCGGATGCGGATTTGAAGAAGGTCAAGCGTTCATGAGATACTACACTCCGAGATGATGAGAACAATGCTATAAGAAGTTTTGAGAGGTAGTGAGAACATTTAGGAAGGGTTTTGAACAAGATTTTATATTCTGTCCATCTTGAACTGATTTAAGATTTATCGAACAGGTTCAACTTGAACTAGTTCAAAATTTATCGAACAGGTTCAACTTCATCAGAGTGGCAATTTTAGAGTCTGTCCATCTTGAACCGGTTCAAGATTTATCGAACAGGTTCAAGACGTCCTGGTACTATTCTAACTTTAGTTTCCTTCTTCTGAATGTTTCCTTTTTGATCCCAACTTCCTTCTAAGTCCTATGCACGAAATTTATCATATTTTATGAGGGATTGGGACTTTCAAAACTCTATATAAACCTTGGCATATACATTAGTTGATGAAATGGCTTTAGGGAAACTCAATTCTATATTTTGAGAAAGCCTTCTATAGAGAGAAAATTCAGAAAATCAAATCTGATTATTCTGAATTTATTTATGAGAGCATACACATATATTCATGAGTGATTTAGTGGTGTTG